TAGGAAAGATTGTTTCCATACTGGCAGGCACAGAATATACTGGAAATATAAAGTAAAATTATACTTGTGTTAGCATTATCAGATTCAACAGAAAGTAACTTGAGATTCATACATGCAGATTCAACACATTCACATATTTTCCATCTCATATCCCATTATCCCACCTCTCTCCACCCCAGTGAAGTCGTAGTGATATAATGCACAGGCTACAGTTCCCTTGGGTGGCATGAGTTTTCTTTCTGGGTAACGCTGATGTGATGACCTTCTTAACTGCTTCTTTGAGACTGCTGCACTGACTCCTATGTTGGGTTCGTATTTGTTTCCTTCCTGCACAATAGCTAAAACTCCCTTGAACATCGTCTGGAGGAGGTAGCCCTCTTTCACCCATTTGAGATTCAGATGTCTTCTTATTGGATGTAGGTAGCTCAGTGTTATCACGTCCTGGCTGGTTAGCATTGCTACTGTCTGATATAGCATTATTGGTCATTACTATAGGTTGCAAAGTAGATGGCCCAACAACAGATGGGGTTCCAACTTGCTGCTGTGCTCTGTTTGGTAGTTATGGCTATGTTTTGCAATTGGTTGATATGGTTGCATCAAACAATACTAGGCACCACTTGCACTAAACGGGATAAAGGACCTGTTTGCATGCTCACAACCACAGGCTGCCATTTCTTAAATCCCTGATAATCACAGGGGTTTGGCCTTCATTTGTTGCTGTTCCTCTTGTCCTGATTTTCATGTAGAAAACTTCTGGCCCTTTGGAGTGGGCATCCACCACCAGTAGGTACATTATCTCTAAAAATGGTCCTGCAAAAATCAATATAGAGCTGTTTCCAGGGAGTAGACAGCCATACCCACAGGTGTAATGGTGCTGATTTGGGCATCTTCTGTACCTGTTGGCATATCATACACTCTTTAACAAAGTGTTCTATTTGTGAATCAATACATGGCCATTATACAAAGCTTCTGGCCAATTCCTTCATTTTTACAACTCCCAGGTGTTCCCTGTGTAGTTCTTCTAAAATGCTTGTGACACATTATAGCAAGTTCATCTTTATGTGCATAAAAATTGCTATATTAGGATCATCTATTTTTTTCCAGACTTTCAGAGTGGCGTCATACACTTGTGGTAGTGTGGGATCTGTCTTGGTTTCTTGCCCAGTCGTACTGCAGGTTACTGGGGCATACTTCAGATGAAATAGATTAACAATTCCAGTAGATTCTGCTTGTAGTACAGAAAGTTCTTTCACAAGTAAATGAGAGAGTCCATTAACATTTCCATGTGCCTTTGTTCTTTTGTACTCAGCATTGTAAGGGTGGCCAGCTAAAAATAGGGGCCATTGTTGCATACCTGCTGCACTTGTTTTATACACTCCTTTCTTAGCATGGATTATTGAGACTAAGGATTAATGATCTATGACCAATGTACACTTTCTCCCATATGGTTATTAATTAAATTTCTTTCCTCCCCACACCAGATTTAAAGCTTTTTTGTCTATCTGTGTATAATTCCATTCTGCTCCTATGAGTGAGTGTACCTGTAAGTGAGCATGGTGGAAACATTACAGTCTGTTCAGAACCATTGGCCATAGTTTATGGTATAATAGTCCCAATGCCATGTGAGAATAGAGCACATGCTAGCTTGATAGGCAACAATGGGTTAAAGTGAACAAGAACCTTTTCAAGCATTCACAGTCCAGATGTTGCATGGTAATTTTGGGCAGGTCCTGGAGCTCTTAACATGGACTGTTCACACATTAACATCTGAAACTGGTTGTAAGCACCTGTTATGTAGATTAGAGTGATGCCACTCAAGGCCAGGATTACCTCTGAACTGTGCTACCCAGATCATATTAAGCTAAGGTGCAGCCATTCTAGGCTAAACCTAAATGTAAACACTTCTTCTGCCCCCCTCCTATTCCTGGGTCTGGAGGATCTGGCCTGGATCAGGCCCACTGCCACCCACTCCCCCTCCACACTACATCAAATCCCTGCTCACTGACACCCGCCCCACTTACTTGTGGCTGCCCAGCTGTCTGTCCAAGGGGAGCAGGCAGGGGCTAACCTGCCTGCTTTGCTGCTACTGCTGTTGCTGCTGTTTGAGCAGGCTCATCCCAAAGAAGAGCAGCAGCCCAGCTGCAGCCAAGCAAGCAAGTTAACTCTTCCCTGCCTGCTCCCCTCAGACAGACAGCTGGGCAGCTGCAAGTAGATGGAAGTGGGGAGAGCGGACAGGTGGGAGCCATGAGGGGGCAGGGGGAAAGTGCAGTATATGGGGTGGGAATTCTTGCCTTTGTCTTCCAGGCCCCTGCAGGCCAGAAGTGTGACTGCTCCAAACTCAGGCTAGCACTAATGCTCATCAACATTTGTGCAGCTCATGGTGTAAGGTTGTTACAAGGCCCTTAGAGTATGCTGGTTTGCTTACTTGTGTCCAGACTAAAATTAAGTCTTTATTTTCAGATGAAAACATTTCACCTGAAATTTTCAGGTATTCAGATAAGCTATTGCCACTAGTGACTTTGAGAAATTAATTATGATACAATACAGAATCTATAGGAACCATACAGAATACTATGCTGGGTTGTTGGGGTGTTTTTTGTTTACAGGTGGGAGGTTGGTTTAAATGTAGACAAAACTGACTGAAAAGAGAGGTTCCCACCTCCCCCCTCCAAAATTTCCCTCACTTTTATTCATTTTATTTTCCTCTCAAGATATACTGATGAAAATTGACATATCAGTTTTAATTGTTGCTATTTAAATTGTGGAATAAGCAAAAGAGCCTTTATGTTATATAACAAACATTTTCTCACTCCAGCAAAGAGTATATCAAATAGGAAGATGTTAAGAAATAGAGTAAACAACAGAAATGTTGATAAATAAACATGTTTTTACATGTAAAAAAATTGCTTTCCAGGTTTTAATTCATGAACTAGCTTAATTAAGCTATACAATCAAACAATAACATAAGAATTTTAAACTGGCTTCTCTGGTATAAAACTTTCAAGCTTAGCTTTCTGATACTGTTCCTAGGAACCGTTGGTCAACAAATAAGGGTCAGGCTGTGGTCCTCTGTCACATAAATAAGGAAGGCCTCACAGGGAATGGTTACAGTTGCATACCTGTTCCTCAGAGCACAAGTACCAGGTGGGACTAGTACCTTATAATAGTAATATCTACAAATACCTTATAACAGTAATATCTACAAAAAAGCTATGGCTAACATTGTGGTATTGCTACCCATTTGCATTAACCACTGCACTCCCAAGGAGCGCTGAGATATAGTTCACTGCACATTGTTTACGACTGCATATTAATAGAATCATTTTGCTTTGAACATTCGTACCATTATTACAAAGTTGAATATTATCTCTATGCTACCCAGCCCATGTTTATAAAGCAGAGGGAAATACAATTAAATGACCATTACTTGGCTGACCTGTACTTTTATTGACTAGAATATGATCTTTCTAGACAATCAGTTATTCAAAAAGGCAAAAAGTGTCTTAAATTTCTAATGTGATTTCTCTTGCAGCTGACTGCGGGGGACCATTTGAACTTTGGGAACCAAACACTACTTTCAGCTCTAAAAATTACCCAAACAACTACCCCAACCAAGCCTCCTGTAAGTCAACCCTTCCCAAACCTGCAGGAATTAAGAGTACAATAAAAATGGTTACAAATATGCTTTTCAAATGTGCTTCCTAATGTTGTTAGGAAGGAAGAAAAGCACTCTTAATTAAGGACCATGCTGACAACTTGCCAGATGTAGTAATTGGTAGTTAACTAAAAATAATGGAGAATGTTGGCATCCATGCTGACAATTAGAGCATATTCTACAGTTCTCTAGGACCTGTTGTTTTTCTGCATTGACCCCCCATTAACTGAAGGGTACCATTTCAGACCATAGATGTTCTGTAAGCAGCATGGCGATACTCCTGCTATAAAATATTTAGCGCTAGCCTCCTCTCTTCTTTCTCCCCTTGTCCTCTGCTCCTGGAGCTCTTAACTCTCTCTGTAGCTCCACCCTCATTTGTGGTCATCAGGTCCAGCTTCCCAGCCAGGAAGACTTGTAACTGCTGACTACCTGCAGGCTGAGCACCTCCTTACATTCTTCCTTGGCTACATGCAGACCAAGGGAGGGTCTGCAGTAGGAGAGACCAATATGAATGAAAATGCAGAAGTATTTTACATAGGAAGAGCTCTAACTGGGCACAGTTTGAATAATATAGTTGTTGCCCTAAGAACTATGTGGTGTATCTGGTTCTCCTCCCAAATGGAGAGAGAGCAAACAGCGGGGTGGATACTGCCGTAAAGTATGCTTCAGTTCTTTCCAAACAAGGACCTGGTTATCTCCTCCAAATGAGGACCTGGTTAACTTTTAATAAATCACTTTTATTGATAGTTATAAAGTATTAGCTCCAAGCATGGCTATAGATATAATCTTAGCAAGCAAGTAATTGCATATTACCAGTCCTAATAATACATGACTTAAGAGCTGGCTAGGTATCTCAGAGCGGGCTCTGGTTCCTTGGAGGGAGATCAGATGTCTTTGGTTCTCAGGTATCATTAGGGTGAGGGGAAGGGAAAGGAAGGAGAGGAGAAGGAGAAAGTCAAAGAGGGAAGTAATATTTATAGTTCTTTAGTCATGTAGTTACCAATTAAGCCAATTTTCTGTTTTTCATTAACATCTTGGGTTATGTCTTCACTTTATCATGTTTTTTCTCCTCTTCTTGGTACCTGAAGCCATCTGCTCCAGATATGGGGGGAATGCACCATAACAAACCCTTTTATTTATAACAAGCATTTTTATCATTAGACTCTTGCAAAAAACGCTTTTCTCTGTAAAGCATGTTCCTCAGTGACATAACCTATGGTGTATGCTAGCTCCATGAATGCACTCTATCCCACTTATGTTATGGCAACTAGGTTTTGTAGGCTTAAGGGACCATTTCAGTCCTGTCAAGTTTCAAGAGACTGAATTGTCTCCACAGACCTAGGTAGTGTCTTTCTCTTGTTCAAATAATGTTGCTGATAGTTTGTACAGGATTCAAGTGACACTGATCTTATTTTTACTTTTGATCCTTCCCACTTTTAACAGCACCCCTTGTGCCACTTTATGCAGTTTCAAAGTTCAAAGAAGAGGTAATTTTTGAAAAGCGCCAAATGGAAGTGATGTAACTAGTTTGGGACAACTGGGGCAGAAGGAAATAGTTACCATTGCAGCTGTGCATTGTGCCAGCAATGTTGGAGCAGCAGCCAGAAGTTGCCACTGTCTCATGTGTGGCAGCTGCCTCAGGTGCCTAGCCACATCATTACACCTCTGCCAAATTATTTGGTTCTATTGTCAAAATGTACTTAAAGGATCGCTGGAAATCAATGGAATTTAAGGTCCTAAGTACCTAAGTCACTTAGAAACATTCTGCCAATTTTGAAAATTTACTAAAGGTCTTTCTTCTGTATGGTCTATAAATGTGCAAAAAGTAGAATCAGTGTGAAGTGTGCTTTGTAAAAAGGAAAATACTGTTTTTTAGGTATATGGTATTTAAATGCTGAAAAAGGAAAAAATATTCAACTTCATTTTCAATATTTTAACCTGGAAAATATTTATGATGTAGTTGAAATCAGAGATGGAAGAGGAGTGGATTCCTTGTTTCTAGGTAAGTAACATATATTGAGTAATAAGAACAATGGCCTCAAAATGAACAATGTATTGTAAAAAGAGTTAGCTCTCTCTTTAATTGTATCTTACATTAATACAATCTTTCTGGGATAACCCAAAAAACTTGACAGTTAACTAGAAGGCACAAGCATATTTATTGTATGTTGCCCCAATCCTTTTTAACTTCACAGGGAGACGTGTTGCAGTTGAAGTCAGCGGGCCTTCTAACGTACATTTTGTTAAGTACAAGCACAAGGGTAGATGGTCAAGGCCTATGTTAACATGTCTTATTTCATGTTTAATTCTTACTGATTATAATTCTTTAGGTGCCTTGTGTACTTGGGAATACTAATTATCTATGGGTAATGGTGTTCTCTCCTATTTTGATTATGTATTATAGGTTTTATTCTATGTCATCCCAAACCATTTTATGATGAATAAATAAATATTTTACCCATCACTGAAATGTATCCATATTTTTCTTGAGAGCAGCTGTTTATACAGGACAAGCCTCTTTTCCAGATGTCTTCTCTACCACTAACCAGATGACAGTGTTCTTCATTACTGACAAAACTGGAACTGAAAAAGGATTTTTAGCAAACTTCACTACTGGTTACCACCTTGGCATGCCTGGTGAGTAAAATAGCTAAACCATTGGATTTAAGAAGTTACATTTATATAAGGTAATATTGAGAAGAAGTTCAAAATGAAGGCTGATTCTCAATCTTTGATCCATGGAGATGTGAAAAAACAAAAAAGCAGAACCAACACATACATCAGACTAAACTTCAGATTTCTGATTATTGACTGCTTGTATCTATTTCATACCAATTAAAACTGCAATATTAAACAAATTAAGCCAAATTTAGCATAGTGTGGACTATGTAATACCTCATGTCAGGGAGGCATTTGACACAGTATTTCAGTCATTACCATTTTTTAATTTTTGCTTTTTGGGGAAAAATATAGACTGTTATAGGCAGTTGTTAATTGTGTCACATACATTCCCAATAATAGAACCTGTCCAACTCATTTTACAGTGACTGTTAGTCAAGGCAGATTTGTAAATCACAATTGACATCACCAGTCAGGAAACCTCGATTTAATCATTATTTTCTACAAAAATACATTCTTGTTTGATATCCTTCATTCATTTAACTTCTTGAAACTTTGCACTTTTAGAGAAAGGTTAAGGACTTGACTGTGTGTACACAAACTTGCAGAGAGACGATAGGGCTGACTGGCAGGTAATCAGGTCTGTTATCTGTCATCTCCACGTAATGTTGTTAACAAGGATGTTATCTGTGGAGAGACAAATCCACACTTTGAGAACTGAAACTAAGCAACACAGAGATGCTTAAATGGGATCTTCTAGACTGAGCACTGAGTTCTATTGGGTAGAGTGGTTTTCTTTAATCTTTACTAATCTACAGAGGAGCATCAGGCAACACCAAAGATTGGGCCCGTAATATAGCCCATGGCCTGTTGTGCCCTATTTATAAAACTTTTCTACAAAGGTTACATGAATATATGGTCTCAAATAGTTATAGGCTAGTTATGATCCCTATTCCATGATGATATCTTTGAGCTTTAACATATCTGAAGTTAAAACTATCTTTATATAGGTGGTGTGGTTTGTTTTGTTTTTTTTTAAAAAGCAACTTAACAAAAAAAAAAGGACGATAAAAAAATCCGATTTAAATAAAAATCTGATCTTTTTTCTTTAATTTTTTTTTTTATCCACCCTGCTGTTAGTCTTCTTTTGAACACTGTTTTTTGAGCATTGATTATCAACCTAATAAATCAGAAATTATTCCTATACAGTACCCAGATGGTACTGTGGCAGATCCAGGAGGGTGTAGCAATGCAGCCATATGCCCATTTGGCTGTCTATGCATGCTCATGGAGCTCTAAGCTCATAGCGTGGTCAGAGTGGAATCCTGCCAGAGTTTCACATGCAGAATTGGCATTTACTAGTTGATCAGCATGACCTCTAGCTGAAGCCACTGCTCTCTCATGGCCCCTGAGCACAGGGGATAGGTGCTGCTGCTGCTCATCTTCCCCCTTCCTCCTTCCCTGCCACTTCTCAACAGAATTCAGAAGAAGGAGAAAAGAGGGGATGAGCAGCAGTAGAGCAGGAGAGGTGGCTCTGACCAAAACTTGTTCCAATCAGCTGATGATCTCAGTGTCATGAGCTCAGAACTCACTGCTCATGCATGAGACATCCAACATTCCCTTTTAACCCCTGAAGAGTCAAACATCCATAGTTGTGACTGGCTAAAAACACATTTTTTTCCAAGTCATGGATAGTGTATGGTTTATTTCATGCAAATATAAAATAAACAAAAGTATGCAAATCTAAAATACCAAGTAACTGCTGTTAAATTCTCATAAAAATGTCCCTTTAATAGTCATTGACTTCTGGTGTTGTAGGAGTAAGATACAGCTTAATCTCCCTTTTGCTCTGATTTCGATGCCACATTTATTCAGAGTTTTTTTTCTGTTTGGGGTTGGGTTTTTTGGTGGGGGCGGTATTTTTTTTTCTATTTCAGCATCTTTCTCTTCACTGTGCTTTAAAATTACAATTAAGTTTAGTCTTCCTGCATCATGCTACAATCATTGCCACTTTTGGCTTATTACAAGAAAAGATTTCTATAGTACTTTCATCATAATTGAGCTTAGTCATGACCTCTGTAGCTAAAGGACACGGGCTTATCTCCAAATGATGTAGGCCATGGTTAAAAAGAATAGTTAGTAAATACATGAATTATATAAAAGAAGCAAATTTATGCATTTATAAAGCCATTCTGTCAACTGAAGGGAAAATCCATGTAATCGATACCGTTGAAACATATTGAAACTC